ACTATCGATTGAAAATAAAAAATATAAAATAAAATAATGATAACAAACTTTTATCTATTATATCTAATAATATAATAATATTAGGTCATTAGGCAATAAACTTACTGAACTGGAGGTAATTGCAGATACGAAAAACGTTGACATTTTATGTTTATCGGAAACGTGGTGTTACGATGAGAGTCTATGATTCTATCTAATTATGATATTGCTAGTTCTTTCCATAGACGAAAAAATAATCACGGTGTTAGTTTGATTTATGATAATAAGAATATTAATTCCAAAGATTTGAAGTCTCCTTGAAATGAAAATGATGAAATGTATACAGACCATTGTTTTATAAGTTTAACCTTTTATAATGACAATCAACGCCTCAATTAACATTTCAAATATAGATTGTCTCAAATTTTGACTTAGTCCATCACTAGACGCTTCAAACACATTAACATTTGCGGAGATATCAAACATAGATGACCTGAACTTACATGCATGTTGAAAAATAGAAAAAGACAAACATTTTTCCATTGATTTCCTTAGAAGCTATCAACTACATTTCTAAAATGACAAACTAACTAGAAAGTTCACATTTTTCCCAAATCGAATATTGATGAATCACTATTTGGTGGGAAAGTTGTAGAAATTGACTAGATTGATTATTATGCTACGTCATTCGAGTTGAAAAGTTACGGTGTATCTAATAATGATACTATCAAAAAGTTATTAAGGAGGCATAACACATGTGAGGCAAATCTTTCAAATTTGAGACTATTTCTAAGTAATGAAATTTATCAATAAGTGTATGGAAAATTATATAATCAGAAATTTTTTCAATGTGTAATTGTATGCTTCAGACTTGATATGTCCATTTATCACAATCAAATATGACTCTCATGTAACCAAAAACGAGTGTATTACTAGAGTTATCAAGGAGGCAGGTAGACAACTGAGAGAACTTCACCGAGTAACAAAAAATGCGGATAAAGACATGATACATTTTTACTGAGGTAAAAAAAGGTAGCATTAAAGAAACATACTCATGTGCAAGAGGAAATATTATCAGAACAAACTTTTTAGGACAGAGAGTATACAAGGTCGAAAAAAATAAATAAGGAAAGCTGTACGTGAACTAACTGGAAAAGAAAATAAACAATACCCTCAGGAAATGTACATTGGACATAAATTGATAGCGGACGATTCAATTATTGCTAACGAATCCGCCAAACATTATTCAACTGAAGTGCCAAATAGTTTTGAATAATAGTTTGATCCTGCCCACACAGCACTAGATATTCTTGGAATATTCCCTGTATATCATAAAACGAACGTATATATTCCAAATATTCATAGAATATTATTGGAATATATACATTCCTTTAGAATATTCATAGAATATGCTTGAATGAATATGGCAGGATTATTCCCGAAAGAATGTGCATAGAATGTCTATAAATGGATTATTCTCCCTTGAATATTCTAAGAATATTGTCGTACATACAAAGTTTATCTTTATCAAATACCCAAAACCACAATTGTATCAATTTTTATAATAATTTGACAGATGTTCTAAAATGTGCATTGTTAAAAAAGTATCCAATTCAATTGTATTTATGACTCGGTATTTTGCATATAGTGGCTACAACATAAGAGGTATATGAATGCTATCGTGAACTCTCATTCAGAACTGTTTGAGATAAACAATCTTATACTACATTATCTGTATGTGACTCCAACGGTATAAGCAGCGCACACCAAGATAGCTTTCAGGGAACAAGAATTTTTCCGACTTACTTATTGTTATATTATGACCAAAATTGGAAAAAAACCTCTGTAAATTGTGGCCTATATGTTATTCTGATGTATAAACTGTATTTATGTAAAGGTTCATCTAAATCCGTTTAGTCGTTTTGGCGTGAAAGAGCTGCAAACATACATACATACATCCATCCTCACAAACATCCACATTTATAATATTAGTATAGATTTAATCTTGTGAATCGCGGTAGCTCGGTCAGTGTTTTTCATATAAACATTCAATGTATATCTAACAAAACTGAGATACTTCAAACACTTTTGTTTAATTGTATTTCAGAATATTGGCAGAGTGAGCAAAATTTCATAAGTATAAACTTCGACGGATATTTTGAAAATCCAGTTGAAGTGAAGCCTTTAAAATTTCTATAATTCAATGGTGAATTGAGTTCCGAGTTTTTTGGCATTATTGGATGAAAACATTACTGTTATAGCTGTATACAGATCTAGAAGAGGGAATTTTGATACGTTTTTACAAAATTCAGAGAACCTCTTGAACCATGTGGTTGATCTCAATTGTGAAGTAGTAATTACTGGCGACTTCAACACAGATTTTTAAGTAAACTGAACTACTTTGAAAGGTTTACAAGACTCAATATCATCAATGGTTGTTTGATGTCTATTATTCAAGAACATACAAGCTAGTGCATCTAGTTGTATAGATAATATGTTTACCAATTTGGAAGAAAGCAATATAAAAAGCGTAGTTTTTGAACCTTGCTTTTTCGATCATCGCGCCCAGTATAATATCCATCATTGGGGAAACACCAGTGAGCTCAAATGAAAAAGTGATTTCTCGAAAATGAAGCTGAAAGAACAAAACAATTATTGATTTTGAAATTATATATTTCCATCTTGTGAATACTTTTAGTTATTTTGTCAAAAAATATTTCCAATGAAAACATCTTGAAAATAGGAAAAACTGTACCTCCCTTGAAACGAAATGATCCATTGATTATTAATTGACAATTACCCACCAATAACCATTCCTAGTATGCTGAGCAAAGTAATTGAAGAATGTATTTATGAACAACTACTTCCTTTCTTAACGAAACATAATGTAGAAAAGAGAATTGAAACTTTTTTTGACACTTTTATTTGTAACAAACCTTAGTGAGTTTCGTCCTAACAGGACATTTTCAAACGTATACATTAAACAAACAATAATTGATAACATTAGCCCTTATATAACACCTTATATAGGTAATAATAAAGGTACTTAGCTTGATTAAGTACCTGAATTTTGTGTACTAGTCACAATGTGGATATGCTAATTTGAAAACCGGTGAGTAAACTAAATCGATTTGATCATTTAACAGGTTGCACCCGCAATGTTTATGTTTGTGAATTTCCAAGGATTCCAAATAATTGACTTTGCAACCCTCCCTTGCATGGTGCAAAATTTCCGTATCGTTTAGATTCGAGAACTTGTGGTTGCATGCCAAGGAATGGTTTGAAAACGTTGAATCATTTATAAACTCCAAATTTCTCCAAGTTGTCCACTTTTCTTTGGCATTGAAAGGGAAATCAGATAACCTGGCATGTGGTCTGATTTCCACACCGTATTTTCTGAAGAAACCCGCAATTATCTCTGTTCTATTACGAAAACCTGTTAGAGTTACCCATTTCTTGATTTCTGATAGTTTGATCTGGGGGTATACTAATCGGTAAGTGAATTTACGACTTTGTTTTCTGACTAACTTCTGGATTGTATCTACGTTGAAACCATCATTATGGTCTATCTGTGTAATTATATCAATTTCCCTAGCTAGGTTGTTAGCAGACAAAGGCAGTGAGAATGTTTTGTGCAACATTGAATTGTAGGCTGCTAATTTCCATCCATCCCAAGAAGTTGTGAAAGTATTACCAAAAAAATTATTTTCAGTGAGTTTAAAGACTTACGACCCATTGGTGTACTTCCGGCTATAACTGAAATATTAGAGAAGGACATAGAACTATAACTCCTGGGGCACATTTCAGAATTCAACATTTTTTTTTACCAGAAAGACTGTCTATCTTCATAGAAAAATTTCTTTTCGGCCGGATGTTCATAACGTCAATATCAGGTTCAAGGGAAGACGTACTCCACCTTCTTTTAAAACTGAATTTTTTCGTTATCAGTTATCGAATATTCCATGTAATGAATGATCTTCCCCTCGAATTCGGTAGAGATGGGTTTCAAAAATTTAAGAGTAATCTATTTAGCCATTTATTCAAGACATGTCAGTTTTATGATTTCAGAGCTTCACGTTGTTTTGCTCCTGCTTCTATAAAGTTAATTGTCGTAGTGTGTACAAATTTGTATATTTTTCTGTTTGTTCTCTTTCCCTCAATCTTGTTTTCTTTTATTTTTTGAATATAATAAAAACAATTGTTAGCGCGAGTGATCTTTTTTACCCATGCATTCACCCGTTATGTAGACGTTGGTTCGATCCCAACTATAGGACGATCGACACAGGAATTGCACGTTGAAATGTAAGACCTGGTTGACCCCGAACTTGTATAAGTGTCAACAGCTGAGGGTTCATAAGGAGACGACTGGTTAACGGAAACAAAAATTTCAACAACTTTTTCATTACATAATTTGAAATGGTAAATTAGCATATCGGCTTTGACTTCTCCATCTTAATACAAAAAATTCAAAAGAAGGACAAAAGCGATTGAGTTCAGAATAAACTCTTCACAAAGTTATGTATAGTCAAAGTAACTGGTATTGTGGATAGTTGAAGGTATCGGCGCCCTCAAAGGCCCAAAAAACCAATACAAAGAAATTATGCCGCTGACAAGGNCCAAATTTGCATGCGCTGTATACGCCAATTACGGGGCTCAAAACGAATTGACATTCGACATCAACAAAATTGTTTGATCTGTGGCATAAAACCTTAACATTGTTGCAAATTGATTTTCGGGCAATGTCTGGCTGTAGACATCGCATGTTTAGATTCCATTACATTTTAAAACCAAGTAATTTTGTATTTAAACAATATCTGGAACAATTTTTGAGTAAAACTTATCCTAATGGATTTTATATTAAACAGTAATAATGAGAAAGGATGATGATGTATTGTATATGGAAGATTCAATCTGTGAGAAGAATACCATTAGATGAGATTTGATGATTTCTTGTTTTGTGATTATCAATTGTAATAAAATATCTCACTAATAATACAACCTTGAAGTTCAAAACACATTACCTGCATCATGTTGTGTTGTGGCTGTTGTCTGTGATCGATTCTCCTCTCATCGTCACTGTCGATAATGGAAAACTCGTCGGAAAAATCATCGTCTTCTGAAAGAGAATCGTGATCTTGGTTTTGTGTGGATCTGCCAGCGTTTGAGGATGAAGACGTGCTAACATCAGTGTTTTCTCCGTCTGCAGTCCAATCCATTTCTGCAGGACTAGAGTTTGTATACGTCAAAATTTGCTGTGAAAAAAAACATATTATAATAATAATGAGTTCAATTTCACAAAATGAATAAATGACAAATGTAGATTACTTGAAAACATAGTCTTTAAATTATGCTTTCGTATTCCAACACCAACAGTGCTTTTTCGACCCACCAAGTTATCATCGGTAGTGTAAGGATGAAAACGCCAATGCTTTGCTGGACTCTACCATTCCTAAAGAACAAGCCCGTAAGACGATGACATCCCCCTTAACGAAGACGCCACATATGATATCGACAGAAGACAGTCCACGAATATTAAAGATGAACTAGGCTCCTCAAGTTGAGTCCTGCTATGCATTTGGAGTTCAGTGTAGCAATACTCATGAAACCTAAGAAAGTTCGAAAACAGTACTATCTGGTGTTGAATCAGGAATGCATTATTTCTAAGCTAATTATTTCTATTTGCCTCGCAGTGAAAGCTGCAGAGGAGATAGCATCGCCTTTAGTGCCAAATGAATACGTTACATTTCATTGAATTAGTTTTAAATCAGTTTAGAATCCTGATAAAACGGATGTCAAATTATATGAAGAGAATTACACTTCAAATTACCTCATAATTATATATATATATATTGAAATTCATTGAAGAACCC